GAGGCTCCCTTCGGGGAAGGAGTAAAAGCCGTGTGGGAACTTGGGAACCAACAAGGGCACATCCCGCGATTTACCTCCCTGAGCTGCTGAGGGGCCGGAGGTTCAGGGACGAGGATATAGTCTGGCGCAAGCTGGGACACCTCATTAAAAAAAAAAAAAAAAAAAAAGTTTCATCCACAAGAAGACATTCATGTTTTGTTTTCATAATTAAGTGGGCCATAGGCCCATATATAACAACCTTAAAGTGTACAGACCAGCTGGTAGTGAGAATGAAATTTCTGTCCTATGATAAAGCGTCTCATTTGTCAAATGTCATATTCGACGTTGTAGAGAAAAGAAAATTTGCTAGTTATGACGAGTGTTTCCAAAAAATTTATGTGCATGGGCCCAACACGTAGAATAAAATTGTTGTGGAAACTTTTTCTAGAAGGGTGCACTTGACTCGTGAACATCGTTTTATTGGAGTTAATAGGTGAAAGCACATAACCGATTTACGAGCTAATGAAGATTTTATTCATAATTGAATAATACTCGATGTTTTGTGTTGCACAAATTCTAAAATTGTTGTTTAATTGCAAATATTGAAGTCGGGTCATTTTTTACAGAAAAAATTGAGTTATTATCCTATGTTAATAACAAGTGTAAATATCGATATGATATCGAAGAGTTATTGCTTACAGATGCTACACTACAGTAACAAGTCGGATTAAAAAAAAAAAAGTGGGGTAACCCTACCCTACCACTATTTGTTTTTGTTTTTTGTACTTGCAAATTAACCAAGAAATGTACTACTGAAACATATTGTGAGGAGATTATTGATCCAATAATTTGCAATAAAAAAAGAAGTAATCATCAATCATGTTTGTTGGTTAAACCTCAGGAAAGTTGAAAGTTAAATTATTAAATTAATTTGTGAAAAACCAAATCAGTGAGATTATTATTTTAATCCATAATCAAGAATTAGCCCTAGATAATTTGATCCAATTGGGCCACCATGTTGAGTTGGTACTATGAAATCTTATCTTGACATAGTCTCTGTAGAAATCTAACTTCCAATTAGAAACCCCCATTGGAAAGTACACT